ATTCAAACGGGCCACAATCGTTCATATGTTGGAAGTAGATATGAATGAAGACTGTCGTGAATTGGTGTGTGGATTATCTAGAAGAGTATTAGACATAAGCAAATGTTTGCTGCAACGTTCATGAGTGCTTATGAATATGATTTGAGCATTGGATTAAACCCACGCTCACTTGGATCACTCCATGAATTGTATTACGAGTGATTGGTGAGACGATAACATCTTATATTCTTGAAACCGAGATGTGTGAGTTGTATCTTGCGAATCGGTTGCACATTGATAATATGTAAACGCACTAGTAACTTGGTGTTATAAAACATATTGTTGTGTGTGATTTGGTTAGTGAGTGCAAGCGAACATTGTATCAAAGTTTATCCGTTCCTTTTATCCAAAGTAGGATAAAAGCGATATCTTTGGGCCCCTCGATGGTTTAGTGATGACATATGTAAATGCTCGGCCGGGCTAGGGCTAATTTGATTTGTTCAATTAGTCTGTCGTCATAAATCGGAAATCGAGAAGTAGTACAAAGAGAATGATTTGAAATCATATCTCATACGATATCTAGAATGGAGGAATATATGATCCCTTATCTAAGGACACGCGTATCTGATATGATCAGAGTTGACAGCGGCTTTGGAAAGCTACGATTGCAGATCGGGATCTGAAGTCATACGCAGAATAGTTGTTAGACTTATCCAAGTGGGAGACTGTTGGATTAGTGTCTAAGTCCATAACTATTTTGGTATGTACTTGACCCGATGGTGCATGGTCCTTTTGGGTTGCCTTCACCAAAGCAACTTGATTGGAGAAATGAATAAAGAGAGAAAGGATAATATGATTTATTAATATGTTATAGGAATAATTATTAAAGGAGAAATCATATTTGTTTAATTAATATTGGTCAATAATTAATTAAGAATTAGTTTTGTGATCAAATGTAATTAATTAAACTAGAGGGGCTGAATTGTAATTATGTGATAGTTACAAAATAAGGTAAGGATTATCTTATATATATGGTGAACGAATTTGAGGTGTAAATCCCTTAGAATTCGAGTATGATAAGGATTCAAGGATTATCTTATTGGTTGCTTAATGGATAATCAACTAGATAAGGATAATGACTGAAACCCTATCTCTACACCTATATAAACACCCCTAGGGCCATGAATTCGTGGATCCCTTCCCAAGAGGTCCTAGATACGAATTATAACCTCTCACCTCTCTCCTTATACCTTCTCCACTTGCTTATGGTGTTTGTGAGCCATTAGAGGAGTGACACTTGTGACTCTAAGCCTTCCAAAGTCAATACAAGGAGATTTGGGATTGTTATTGCTACATAACAATCAAGGTAACACTATAAACTTATTCTCATGTTAATATGATTACTTGTATGCTAGAATTAGGGTTTATAGTCTTGGATTCAAAGCATGTACAATAGAGAAACCTAGATCCAAGCATTAGGGTTTGTATGAGCACATAGGATGTCTTATGACCAAAACCCAACAGTTTATACTTACACTGCGTGCATAGTCAACGGTGTTAGGTTTATGGTACTTAGTCGTGATGCACAACGCAAAATGCAAAACTCTGGGGTTCTAGTGGTTGGTGAGAATGGAGAGAAATATTATGGCCAGTTAGAATAGATTATGGAGGTGCAATATCCATATGATTATTCGACTGTAATATTTCGGTGCAAGTGGTTCGATACGGGAGATATTCCTGATGATAATTTCATAAGTATCAATACAAAAAAAGAAGCGTACCAAGATGATCAACTCATATACGCTTCGCAAACCAAACAAGTGTTCTACATCCACGAGCCTGTTAATCATCGAAGAAACCAAAACAACAACCTTCGTTGTGTCGTTGATCATGTTAATCATCAAAATATTTGGGATCTACCATCCGACAATGCTCGTGTCCAAAATGCTTACAGTGACTCTGTCCAAGATGTCGACAATGTGGAGGCCGAAAATGTTGACATAGTTCAAAACAACTCTTCATCTGGAGCTAGACTTTTTATCGACTTCTCACAATACTTTCAAAGCAATGTTGACGTAGCTCAAAACAATGTTGATTATGACGATGAAGACGAGACTGAAGTACCTCCGCCAACGGGTAGAATCGATAATGTTTCCGATGAAGAGACTGATTATGATGATGGCGATTCTGATTATGATACGGATAAAGGAGACATTGAAGTATATGATGAAGATTCTGATTAAAAAAAAAATCAATTTTTTTTTTTTGTAATAGAAACGTTATTTGAAATGTACTTTTAATTCATATTGTTTGTCTAACTTTTATTTATCTTGTTTGTCTATATTGTATATCTTACAATTTCGCATGGTAACTAACTTTTGTTCATATTGTATTTCTATATTGTACATCTTGTAATTTATAGGCAGCAGATGAGGTTTACTTGGGAGATACTCTTGGTCATGATGGCCGATGTTATGGGGCTTGGACATGGAGGTGATGGAGCCGCAGATCCACCACCTCCAGGAGGCTTTGGTTGTGGTCAGCACGAACAGGATGATGAGTTTTATTATGATATATTTATTAACTATCTTTATTATTTTATAATAAGTTATCGTGACTAATATTTTTAATTGTATTTTTTCAGCTGAGCTTCCAAAAAAAAGAAGGGGCATGTCAAAAAATATTGAGTTGGGAAAGTTGATAAGGGAAAATAAGGGAAAGCCCGTAGATTTGGATTTTGACAGGGAAATCACATATTCTCCTATCGGGAAGCGTGGTAATTGGTTCACACATGAAATTGGGATGTATTTGTGGAACAATGTCCCTTTCAACGTATCTGGTTGGGACAATGTTTCCCCCGCCTTAAGGAACGCAACAGTTGTACATCTAAAGGTAATTTGGATACAATTTTAAGTTTAGCTGTGATTGTTATTTAATTAACTAAATTTTTTGTGTTTTGAAGAATAAATTTGATTTGGATAAGGTTAACATGGATCTGGAGCGTGCTCAATTGTTGCGAAGCATTGATTCGAGTCTTGCAAAAGTTTACATAGATCGAAAAAGTAAAGCTCATTCTTATTTTAAGGAAATCAGAGGGCCTGCAAATATCCAAGCCGCATTAAACAACCCCCTAACAGAATGTCACATGAAAATTGGGCGAAGACAGTTGAACATTTTCAAACGCCAGAATTTTTAAGGCGTTCGGCGTCAAACAAGGAATGTTGTGCAAAACAAGTAGTTGTAAACAGAGGGGGGTCGAGCTCATACAACAATGCATGTTTCAAAGAAGTAAGTTATGATATATTTAAATATTTATTTAAAATATAACTAATCTAAATTTTAATGTTAAATAGGATATCAGTCGAATTGAAGCTTTTCGTAAGGCTAATTCCAATCGCCAAGGGGTATTTTATAGTCCTGCAGTCGAGCAACAATACGTAAGTGGTTAATTTGTATTTTTCATATAAGTGTTTATATCATCAAAGGTATTTAGTAATCTAATTTTTATGATTTTTATTATTTTTAAAAAATACAGAATGATTTACTCGAAGAGATAAACCAACGAACCCAAGCTACTTCTGAGGCAAGCGGTCTAGCACCAACTGATATAAAAGATTGTTTTAAAAGAATATTGGGTGTTCGACGCGGACATATCAGAGACATTGGGCGTAAACCCCCTACCGTTGTGTCTATGTACGATCAGCAACAACCAATGATACAAGAACAACCACAATCACAAGTAATTGTTAGTAAATGTTATAATGGAAAGTAGAATGCTATAATGATATGTTGGTTATGATTTGATATGTTGATATTTTGTAGTTTGGTAATTTTTGGAAAGTAATGCTATAATGGAATGTAGAATGGTATAATCATATGTTGGTTATGGTTTGATATGTTGATATTTTGTAGTTTGGTAATTTTTGGAAAGTACAATGCTATAATGGAAAGTAGAATGATATAATGATATGTTGATATTTTGTAGTTTGGTAATATTTTGGAAAATAAATGCTATAATGGAAAGTAGATGTATGTTTAAGTATTTGATATGTTGACATTTTGTAGAATGATATAATTAATTATAATGTTATTCTGATATGTTGTTAATATATTTTGTTTTCTTTATAGTTGCAAATGCTGCAAACAATACTACAGGGCCCGGCCTGTTCTGCAACATTGGAAGAGTGGTTTCGCTCATTGTCGCCACCAAATAATGAAGGAGATGATGATGAGGACGAGTAGTTATTTTAGGATTTTATGAAACGTTTTGTAATTTGGAAGAATACTTAATGTGGTATGGATTAATATTTTGGATTGATTGTATAATATGTATTAATATTTCTATAAAAACTTATCAAAATTTTCAAATGCTATATGGATTAATATTTGGATTGGTTATAAATTTAATGTTAAATAAATAAACACACAAAAAAAAAATCAAAAGAGTATTAGCGGCGACAGCTTTTGTGGCGACACGAAGGTATTAGCGGCGACGAGTAGCATTAGCAACGACGCGTAGTATTAGCGGCGACTATGAGTATTAGCGGCGACATTAAACGTATTAGCGACGAAACAATACCGGCGACGCATTTGCAGCGACAGGTCGCCGCTAAAGGTATTAGTGGCGACACGCCTAACCTTTAGCAGCGACACGTGTCGCCGCTGTTGCCAAATCTTCTTGTAGTGTCCTGCCATGTTCCAGGCAGCAGTCACGGCCGTTATGACTGCCGCAATGTCGCAGATAAATTCTTTTTTCAATTACTTTATAAAATGTTACAAATGCATTGATTTCCTTTCATTTTTCAATTAGTTTAATGTTTATATATTAATATTAAGCTTTTATTTTTTGTAAACCCATCTTACGGGTCTCATACAGTTTTTTTAATTAGAGTTAGATTTTTGATTGCCAATAAACATTCCTTTTTTCAATTTTCGATTTTTTAAGTCGGCATAAATGGATTAATTAAGCCATCAATTAGGGTTGAATGTTGCCTTCCGTGAACATACGCGCGTCATCCTCACGACCTCGTTTGACCGCTCACCTACGGCAATTATCAGTGCCTTCAACCTCTCTCTGACGATCCCTCCGGCGACCCCTCATTACTCCATCTCCAATCTGTGATTCAGGGTCTTATGTTTTCTCTTTATATTTCTGATTGTCTTTTTCTATTTTTGATTTGTCTTTCACTCTTCTTATCTTTCTGATTTCTATCTTCGTTTTATTTTATATGTATTTATGTTTCTAGTAATCGGCAAAGATTATTTGATCAAATTAATGATGTTTTTGATTTATGTCTTTTATTTTTTATTTGATTAAAGTAAGTGTTTCTAAATTTTTTCATGGGTCTCTAAAATCATACCAACTGTTGTACTTTCCAAGATGGTGATTTTGTATGAATGTAACTGAGCATCAAACATAAACATAAGTTTATTCTTGTTAGTTAATGTTTTGTGCAACAAGTTCAAATTTTTGTGGTAATGTTTTGACTCTTGATTTTATGTGTCTGACTTTATGTATAATTTTGGTGTGAATTGTGATCATGATGTCTTGAAACACGACTTTAATATAAAAAGATCAGTAATTTTGCTATTATAATGTTTTAATTATTTGCTTATTTATGGATTTTAAATTTGCTCTAATAGGTAATGAACATATATATTAAGTTTTGTAAGCACGTAGCTACTGTTCACTATTTGGTATCGAAAACTTTGGAATTGATAGATAGCATACTGTTGTTGATTTTGTGATATAAATTGGTTCGACCATGGGGGATTTGAAAACATGGCTCATTAGATGTGTCACGAGTTTAATATTTTTGACTCCTCCAGGAGTGATTAAGTTTTGTTTTATTTTATTTTTTTACTTAACGCACTTAATGTAAAAAACTGAATGAGTTAAGTTAGGCAACGGTTGTTTTTTTTTTTTTTGCATGCTTTAAATATAAAAGAAATGCTCAAAATCTATGCAAATGAACTATTGTGATATTGTTTTCAATCAGGCCATGGAAACCCAACATTTTTATCATCCTTTGGTAGCAAAGACAGCAACTATTAGTTTCTTGAATGTTAGAGGGACGTCAAACCTTGGTTTCGATGCAACCTTCATAAAGCCACACAAACACAAACAAAACTCTTTTCAGGTATGTATGATATCTTATCTTTTCCACTCAAATCTCATGATACAAAAACAAAAAACAAGGTCAATTTTAAAAACGATTCATTCAACAGAGCGGATGCGGAGACTACTACAAGATTAAGCATGGGAATTGTCAGATGACAAGGTCATATAGGAAAGTTGCATCAATTGTGGCCAACTTAGAAGAATACAAGTGTGTGAAAGAAGTAGTTATGAGAAACCAATCCGAGTTCCAACAGAAGTTGATGATTTGGGCAGAATACAAGTGCGTGTCGGCAATAATGACAGCCATTGCAAGAAACATGATAAGTCAACATAATCTCCAAGAGATGCTCGCGATTGCTGGAATGACCATGTCGATTAATTTCACACTCATTTTGGGTCGAGAACCCATACTCACACGTGAATTCCCACCTCTTTGGTTTAAAGTGCTTACTGCAACCATTCCAATTTTACCTGTCCTCCTTAACTTTCTTCTCATCCCAAAAACCACCACCATTGCGTATACAATTGCTGCCTCTTTTCTCGGACAGGCTCTTGGATATATGGCCCTCAAACCCTATTACGCCAACCGAACCTTCTCTCATCGCCTCTGACTTCTCTTGATGCCTCTTATATTCTATATCATCATGTGAATGTTTGTTAAAAAGGTCTAATAAACCCATCTAATCAAATTGCTCATTGTTTTTTTTTTTTTTTTCCTAATATAAATATATTAAATCCGTTAATTATAAAAAATACTCACAAAACGCTTATGTAATTACATTGAGTATAAAGTTAGCCCAAATCATATGTATCATTTTGTCGGTTCATATTTTGCTTGGTATTGAGATAAAGAGACTGCTATTTTATAATTAACTAGGTGGTTATAACTGGTTGACAATTTTTAAAAAATGTTGTTTATTTATTTTTCAATATATAAATAATAGTTTTCAGAAAGTAGAATGTTATATAAGGAAATGTTTTATACTTATTTTTCAAAATCTTCAATAAAGGAAATCCATTTTACATGTAAATGCAGCTAGAAATGGTAGTTTTCAGAAACTAGAATGCTATAATTAAACTTGTAGTCTATTCGATTTTACAACCTATTTGAAACATAATGGTTAGAGAATAAATAAACATTCAGTTGTCATAAATAATAAAACGGATAATGACATTAGAAAACCCTAAAGCTTACAAGTTTTTTGTCGGTTTTATCATTTTGCTGATTTTAGATTCATTAAATCAGATATTTGCAAAAAAAAATTCAATTTTAACCTTTGGTTTATTAAAGTCTTTTAGTTTGATAGAAATGTTCTGTTTTATCATTTTTTCTGGTTTATAAAAACTTTAAGTTTTGTTTTTTGTTCATTAAAATTCTTAAGTTTGCCAAAAAAATTAGTTTTACTGGATAGGTTTGCAAAAGGGGTAAAATTGAAAAAGAAAGTTGCAAAATTGAAGCTTTTATGGACCTAAAATACGAATTTGGGTAAAGCCGACAAAAGCTAGTAAACTTAAGGCTTTTGATGACATTTGCTCATAACAAAATATACAAAAGCAAATAATCATCATCATAACTTTAACTACAGTGTTTTTGTTTAGTAAGTTTAAGAGTCCTGAAAACTTAATTGTTTATGTACATTTCCATGTAAAGTAATTGTAGACAATTGAAAAACAAAACTTATTAAGTATTAACTACTCCTTTGACTTGATTCGGTGCGTTTCAAAATATTATAAACGAATTTTCCTTGATAAATGTTGCTACACAAAAGCAACATCAACAAATAAGACAATCATTCTTTTACGACTTCTAGTTGTGTAACTTACACCAATTTCTATAACAAAATGGTCACGTTGGAGTCTCAAACATCGACACAAGACCAAAACCATCAATTATTTCTGTAGTTTTTTGATCGGTCTAGGGCCAAAAGGTAGTGTAACATCACAACCCCACCACCACCAAAAGAAAGCAGCTAAGTAAGGGTGTGTTTGGTTTATTATTTTTTTTATCACAAAAATGATTTTTAAGAAAAGTGCTAATTAACTTATGGCTTTTAGAAAAAACGGATTTTAAAAAGTGTTTGGATAAAAAAAAAAAACTGTTTTTCAGGAGTAAATGGTTGAAAAACTAAAAAGCTTGGATTTTCCAGCTTTTTGAAAGTTTTACTTTTTTCTTATTCAAAAAGTTGTTTTAAAAAAACGTTTTTTTAAATATACAAACATATTTTTAGCTTGTTAACTTTTTGAAAAGCTAAAAAACTAAAAAGCTAATTTCAAAAGTTATCTCAAACACCTACTAAAACATTCTACAATATCATAAATTATTAAACAATATAACAACTTGATAGGTATATATACTGATCGAATGTTCAAAAGCAAAATCTCTTTAAATAGTTATCATGCAATATTGACAATTTTAATTGATATGAAATTTACGTAGGATAACTGAAGAAAAAACTCACTGATAAGATTATATTGAAGGATCTCTACAACTTGTTGATTGGTAATCTAAATGTAGTGTCCATTTGAGGCCAATATTGTTGGTCTTAGTGTTAATGAAGTATGGTTGCATATATTGTCAAATAAAATTCCATCGACCAACAATGAACATGGTCCAAGTTCATATAGCTTTTCTACTATTAATCGCAATATATATATATATATATATATATATATATATATATATATATATAGAGAGAGAGAGAGAGAGAGAGTGTGTGTGTGAGAGAGAGAGAGAGAGAGAGAAAGAGAGAGAGAGAGAGAGAGAGAGAGAGAGGTTCAAATGTGGATTAACATCTATTGTACGGACAATGCTATTTTGTGATAATGACAAAAAAATATTTTGTTTGATAATGTGAATACGTTCAATCTTACATAACTATTGTCATTATCACACATTCTCACTAATTAAATCGTCTATAAGGTTATTATAGATTTATTATTATTATTTTCATTTCATCAGAATGTTTATTTTGTCATATTCTGTAAAAATGAAAATAAGTGGAAAATTATACGTGAGAACAAAAATGAATAAGAATTAGTAAGAATGAATTAAAATGACAACAATTATGTGAGGTTGAACATATTCACATTATTAAACAACTTATTCTCTTAGTAATTCTCATAAAATAGCGTTGTCCATACGTCCGCATAATAGTTGTTAATCCACATTATAACCTAGCCCTATATATATATATATATATATATATATATATATATATATATATATATATATATATATATATATATATGTATATATATATATATATGGGAAAAAGGAATATACATTACAGCCCCACCTAAGCTTAGGTACTAAAACTCTTGAAAATAAATTGTTTTACTATATAAAGATTATGGTTAATGGATTCACGATTAATATTTCAAGATGTAAATTCAAGATCGGCACAGTAAGGTTTAGGGTTTAGGGTTTAGGGTTTAGGTTTAGGGTTTAGGGTTTAGATTTTAGGTTTAGGGTTTAGGGTTTAAATTTAGGGTTTAGGTTTAGGGTTTAGTAATGTTCACATGGGTGAAGTAATAAACGATAATTGACGAAAGAAAACAGAGATGGTAAAACGATAATGAAAGAAAGAAATGTTATAGAGGATGATATATTTACCAAGTAAAACCAAACCAGGTATATTTAGCGTGATAAAACGACATATTTTAGAGGTTTAGCACCTAAGCTTAGGTGGGGCTGTAATGTATATTCCTTATCCCCTATATATATCTTATAAAGTTAGCATTTTTCCTTGAACCTCATGCATTTGAAACTCCCATGCATTTTTCCTTTCACCACATTCATTTGAAACTCCCATGACTTTTCAATTTCTTTCTAATAATAATTATAATTGGTTAATAAGGTTAAATAAATATCAAACCTAAAGTTTGATCATATATAAACTAAATTTCAATATTAAAATAATATCTTTACTTTTACTTATAAAGTTATGTTTTTTAACTGTTAACATATTATCCTTAATTTATTAGTGTTAATATATTGTTGGATATAAACCATTATCATTTTAAAGATACAATTTTGGAACAATTTGTATAAAATACTTAAATTATTAATTTAAATATAACATTACAGGTTCAACTTAATATCTCTATATACTTATAAATGATGCATTTTTTCTTTCACCACATTCATTTGAAACTCCCATCATTTTTCTTTCACCACATTCATTTGAAACTTCCATGAGTTTTCAATTTCTTTCTAATAATAATTATAAATTGATTAATAATGTTAAAGAAATATCAAACTTAAAGTATAGTCATATATAAACTAAATTTACATATTAAAATAATATATTTACTTTTACTTATAAAGTTATGTTTTTTAACTTTTAACATATTATACTTAATTTGTTGGTTGTAATATATTGTTGGATGTAAACCATTATCGTTATAAAAATACAATTATGGAACAACTTCTATAAAATACTTAAATTATTAATTTAAATATAACATTACTGGGTCAACTTAAATATAAATTTTAGTTTAACTTAAAAAACACAAAAAATATTTTGTAAATAGTTAAAAGTGATAGATTGTAGCTTCTTTCTAATAATGATTATAAGTTGGTTAATAAGGGTAAATAAATATCAAACCTAAAGTTTAATCATAAGTAAACTAAATTTCAATTTTAAAATAATATATTTACTTCTACTTAGAAAGTTATGTCTGTAACTTTTAACATATGATACTTAATTTATTAAATTTAAAATGTTGTTTTTGTTAACAATTATTAGTTTAAAGCTACAACTTCTGAACAGTTTGGAAAAAATACTTAAATTGTTAATTTAAATATATCATTACAGTATTAACTTAAATATAAATTTCAATTACACTTAAAAAACCAAACAATACTTTGTAAATAGTTAAAAGTGATAAGTTGTGGTGATAAATGCAAAAACTAAATTACAATCTCAATTTAACTAAAATATTTCCTAAATATATTTTTTATAATCGATAAAAGTTTTCAAATAAGTAGCTTAAAATAACTTACAATAACAATATTTAAAAATAACTCTATATAAATAATAATATTGTAACCTTTAAAATCAAAAAATAATGTTTCATGTATTAAATAATTATAATGATAGAAATTAAAACATTAATCAAATAAATTTTAATAATTTATTTAACAATAACACAACTATAAATAACATTAAACCATATATTATATTTAATTTTATTCATGTGTAACTCGCGGGTAGAAGTCATTTAAACGATTGACATTATGCACTTATAATAGAGGTATATATTATCATATAATTCAAAATAATCAATATATTATATCATTTTAGTATATGGATTATTATATCAAATTCAACAACGTTATTGTTATATTTAAAAGAAACATATATTTGTAAAGTCGTCAACTATATATGAGTTTCTGCGCAACGCGCGGGCATTCGCCTAGTATCTTATAAAGCTAGCATTTTTCCTTGAACCTCATGCATTTGAAACTTTCATGTATTTTTCCTTTCACCACATTCATTTGAAACTCCTATGACTTTTCAATTTCGTTCTAATAATAATTATAATTGGTTAATAAGGTTAAATAAATATCAAACCTAAAGTTTAATCATATATAAACTAAATTTCAATATTAAAATAATATCTTTACTTCTACTTATAAAGTTATGTTTTTTAACTGTTAACATATTATCCT